ACCCTTTGCGGGAATGAATCAGGAAAGTCCTGGCTTAATCCATGGGATTAAGATGATTGCAGCATTGTCGCAGAGCGCATATGGCAGTGGCACAACAACATCCGCAGACAGGGTTTCTAACACTCATAAGGTAAAAAGCATACGTACGTGAGAGTGCTAAGCAGCAGTGCATTTTCTATTGAATACAGGAACATATTAAACAAACTCAGGCTTTCATGGTCTGGGGGACTGGAAATGGAATAGAATGCTCCCCCCCACCCCCCCGTTAAAATTCACATCACGTTGCTAGTGGATGGAATTTCCAAAATCATCTCAAGGAGTTAAGTGAAGAGCTCCTACTGGGTTTCAGTGTAGGGAGTTGGGCCCCTAACTCCTTTGGTGACACTTGAAAATCCCACCCAATGATTGAATGTTTTATCACTTGGCTATTCGGTGGCCTCTGTGGTCCCCACTCTTTGTACACAGGGGAGCTCAAGAAGCCACTAACAACTGGCATTGGTTGGCTGTCACAGCTAAGAGCCAAGAATTGAACTAACCTCTTGTACCTAGTGGTACAGTGAAAGATGATTTCACCCAAACTGCCTGGAGCAAATAAATTCATGGGGACAGTTGCATACTGTGCTGTTCCCTCTCGTGGGAATAGACAAAGAACTTGAGACTCCAGCACTGCCATTTGTCAGCCCTAAATTCACATAAACATTTTAAACTAAGGAAACCATATATAAATCTTGTTGTCAGCTCTCCCTGCTGCCTCTGCCTAACTAGCTAAAACATTTTTTTTCTTATTTCTGTTTTTTTTTTTAATCCATACATGTATCCTCTTAAATTGAGAAAATCCACTCATTAAAAACAAAAGGGAAGGGAAAAAACAGCTTCTGTTCCTCTCCATTTCTAAAGGACACAGCAGGAGGGCTTGAAAGAAAGAATGAGCCTTTAGAGAGAGCCCTGCTGTCTCCCACACCAGAAGCGAAGGAGGCTGGAGGTAGGGAGTGTGCAGGAAAAGCCAAGGATAGATGTGGGAGCAACACTCGACACACTTAGAACGAGGGGGAACGGGGAGGGGGAAGCAGTTTTACAGTAGCCGCTCATCCGTATTGCTGGGGTCAGGTAAGGCTGCGGAATCTTCTTTGAAGTTAATAGCTGCTACACGGGGTAAAAAGTGCAGCTATTCTTAAGGGCTATGTGTGGACCGGGTTTATTGTGTGTGTGTGTTGATGGGCATAAGGAAGGAGAAGCTACTTTACAGAAGCAGTTCAGGGCTGCACTTGGGGTTAAGGAGCACTGCAGCATGTCTTCTTGTTCAGAGATCGAAGTAGGAATCAGGGCTTCTAATTTGCCAAGTCCTACTGCCTGCCTCATCATCCACTGTCTGTGCACAGCTGGGCTCAGGGAGAAAATTAAACCGACGCCGATCGTACCATACCAAAGCAATGTCAATCTATTTATTACTTGACTATTTTTAGCGATGCTCACGTTAGCAGGTGGTAACTGGTAGATTTTAAAACAATACTGTTGTCAAGGGGTACAATACCCTTGACAGCCAGCTTCATTATAGTTATTAGTACATGAACAAAGGAACAAAAAGAGTTACCTTCAGCTCCACTCTGCCATAAGAAAGATCATTTACTAAACAAAAAGAGGCAACATAGGAAAAGAAATGCAGGGCCTGGTTTTCTCGTTTACACTAAGATTCCTTTACATTAGTCTGGCAGTGGAAAGGAGTCTTCAGATGTGCTTTATTTACATTCAAGGCTACTTCAAGCCTAAGTGTAAGTGAGAATCAGGCCCCTAAATTTCAAGTTACTAATAAAGATTTATTGAAAGTAGGGCTGTCAAGTGATTAAAAAAATTAATCGCGATTAATTGCACTGTTAAACAACAATAGAATACATTTAAATATTTTGGATGTTTTATACATTTTCAAATATATTGATTTCAATTACAACACAATACAAAGTGTACAGGTCTCACTACATTTATTTTTATTACAAATATTTGCACTGTAAAAAAAAAAGTATTTTTCAATTCACCTAATACGAGTACTGTAGTGCAATCTCTATCATGAAAGTTGAATTTACAAATGTAGAATTATGTACAAAAAATAACTGCATTCAAAAATAAAACAATGTAAATCTTTAGAGCCTACATGTCCACTCAGTCCTATTTCTTGTTCAGCCAATTGCTCAGACAAACAAGTTTGTTTTACATTTGCAGGAGCTAATGCTGCCCGCTTATTGTTCACAGTGTCACCTGAAAGTGAGAACAGGTGTTCTCATGGCACTGTTGTTGCTGGCGTCGCAAGTTATTTACATGCCAGATATGAATCTTTAGTATATATCCCTTCATGCTTCAACCACCATTCCAGAGGACATACGTCCATGCTGATGACGGGTTCTGCTCGGTAACATTCCAAAGCAGTGCAGACCAACGCATGTTCATTTTCATCATGAGTCGGATACCAACAGCAGAAGGTTCGTTTTCTTTTTTGTTGTTTTGTGTTCTGTAGTTTCCACATCAGTATTGCTTTTTAAAAATTCTGAAAAAGCATGCTCCACATCTCATCCCTCTCAGATTTTGGACAGCACTTCAGATTCTTAAACCTTGGGTTGAGTGCTGTAACTATCTTTAGAAATCTCACATTGGTACCTTCTTTGCATTTTGTCAAATCTGCAACAAGTGTGTTCTTTAAATGAGCAACATGTGCTGAGTCATCATCCAAGACTACTGTAACATGAAATATATGCAGAATGAGGGTAAAACAGAGCAGGAGACATACAATTCTCCCCCAAGGAGTTCAGTCACAAATTTAATTAACACCCCCCCCTTTTCTTTTTTTTTTTTTTTAAACAAGCATCATCAGCATAGAAACTCGTCTTCTGGAAAGGTGGCTGAAGCATGAAGGGGCATATGAATGTTTAGCATATCTGGCACGTAAATACCTTTCTATTCTGGCTACAAAAGTCCCATGCGAATGCATGTTTTCACTTTGTTGTGACATTATAAGTAAGAAGCAGGCAGCAGTATCTCCCGTAAATATAAACAAGCTTGTCTTAGCGAGTGGCTGAACGAGAAGTAGGACTGAGTGGACTTGTAGGCTCTAAATTTTTGCATTGTTTTGTTTTTGAGTGCAGTTATGTAACAAAAAAATCTACATTTATAATTTGTACTTTCACAATAAAGAGATTGTACTACAGTACTTGCATAAGGTGAATTGAAAAATACTGTTATTTTTACAGTGCAAATATTTGTAATAAAAAATATAAAGTGAGCAGTGTACACTTTATATTGTGTTGTAATTGAAATCAATGTTTGAAAATGTAGAAAAAAATCCAAAAATATGTAATAAATTTCAATTGCTATTCTATTGTTTAACAATGTGATTAAAACTGTGATTAATCACAATTAATTTTTTTAATCACGATTAATTTTTTTAAATTAATCACGTGAGTTAACTGCGACTAATCGACAGCCCTAATTGAGAGTAATGGCAGTAATTGCCTGTGTACTATTAACTCAAAAGAAAACCAGTGAAGAACACACACAATCAAGAGACATATTGTATATTTATTAATAGAGTGAATCTGCCAGGCACCCAATGTTGCTGTTGCAGACGATAGTATAATTCCGAACCTTTCACAATAGGCTGGATTTGGTATCATCCCAAATAGCGTGAGCAGAAATTCTCCTTTCTCGTAGGCTGACAATCACCCTGTACAGTGCCCTTTTAAATAGCTGGATAGTACACAAGTTATGATTATAAATGTTGGAGCCAGCCAAAATTAAAAGTGGCTTTCTCAGTTTAATGAGTCCTGCCCCTTCTCTGTACATTGAAGTGATGTACTGAGCTGATCAGATTTTGCTACGAAGCGACTATTCAGACCCTTTGATCCCCTTGGTATTGACTGACATTTTGAATGGCAGGCCACTACTGCAGCTGCTCCAGCAGTCTTGCTGGCTGAAGCCTCATCTCTTGTGCTTTGTGTTGTTTAAAGCCTAACACAAAGGGTGACATGGATGTAAATGGAAGGTAATGCCCTCACACAAGGAGCTTTGGGGATGCTGAATTTGGGATGCATGAGCACAGAGTGACTAACTAGGACAATGAAGGTAAAATGAAAGAAACAGCTGTTAAGTTTGGACAGGGATTTAAAACAAAAAACCTGAAATACAGCCTTTGTGCACAAAACAATAAAAGAAAGAGGCCGTCTTGATGGCAGCTTGTCTAAAATAAGCCGTGTGTGTGTAAAAACCAGATAAATCATTCCAGTTGCTATTTAGAGTCTGACATGGTATGATGTTTGTGTGATTATATGCTGATGCCTAGAAGATGTTTTGCAGCAAACAGTATTTAAACACCCTGAATACTGATTATCTGCCAGAAAAATACATTTATAATTTGATCTGCTTAACAGTCATTACCTTCAGGGACATTTTTGGTTCAACAAAACTGTTAAACCACTGCAGAAATTTCATTTGACCAGTTTCTTTTCTCATCTTGAATGCACTGTGTTGCTCCAAGATCCCACTTCTATCTATTGATTCTTTTATGTTGTATTTATATTTAGTCTTTGATGAGATCTAATTTTAATGGCTCTCTGCTTGTGTAACTGTTTATTCAACTTTAAAAGTTTACCCTATACAAATGTAGGTGACTTAAAAAGAAAAATGTAAGCCGTATCATAGGAATATAAACATTCTGAAACTATAAACTTCTTGTTTAGGTGTTCATTCAAATACACAACCCACCACTAATTATGATATATATATTATAGAAGTAACAAGCTAAGAATTGTTTGCCTGACATTTAAAATATCATATTTAACTGGGGCGAATGGTAAAGGGTTCTTCTATTTCAGCTACATGGTATATTTTTAATACATAATTTAATGTATGAACTCATTCATTGTATCTGTGGTCTCAGCTGCTTTAGAGCTCTCACTTTGCTGCCAGCAGCAGACTGTTAATAACTAGAATACCCTTTGTTATACTTTAAATACTAGGCAACAGAGACAGAAGAATCTCAGGATATATCCGTGCATCTGCTGCAATCCCTGGTTGAGAGAGCAGAGGAAATTAATCAGCTCACGAAGAAAGTGCAGATTGAGAACCAGCAGCAGTTGGAGGAATGGTGCCTACTTTCTGCAGAAAATGAAAGGTTCAAAAGGGAGGTAAAAAAGGATTTTGCTCATTTTTTACTGTGACTTTTCTGTCTCTCAAGTGTGTGATGCCTCATTCTGGTAAAAATAGCTGTGAAGTCCTGAAAAGAGAACGATGTGTTCATGCAAGGTTTGTTTTAGAATCACAGAATAGGAAGAATGTAGGGCTAGAAGGGACCTCAAGAAGTCATTGAGTCCAGCGCCCTGTGCTGAAGCAGTAGAAACTAAACCTAGACCACCGCCAACCTGTTCTTATAAACCTCCAGTTATGGGGTTTTCACAACCCCTCCTTGGAAGCCTATTCCAGAGCTAACTACCCTTGTAGTTAGAAAGTTTTCCCGAAAGTCTAACCTAAATTTCCCTTGCTACAGATTAAGCCTATTATTTCTTTTCCTACCTTCAGTGGACATGGAGAACAATTGATCACAGTCCTTTTTATACCAGTCCTTAACATATTTGAAGACTGTTATCAGATCCCCCTCAGTCTTCTTTTCTCAAGACTAAACATGCCTTTTTTTTTTAAAGCTTTCCTCATTGTTTTCTAAAACTGTTTTCATTTTGTTGCTCTCCTCTAAACTCTCTATTTGTCAACATCTTTCCTAAAGTGTGGCACTCGGAACTGCACACTCCAACAGAGGCCTCACCAGTGCTGAGTAGAGCAGGCAGTTACCTCCTGTGTCTTACATAGGACTATCCTGTTAGTACAGCTCAGAATGATATCAGCCTTTTTTTGCAGCTACATCACATTGTGGACTCTTGTTCAATTTGTGATCCACTATTACCTCCAGATCTTTTTCAGCAGTACTACCACCTAGCCAGTTATTCTCCATTTTGTAGCTGTACATTTGATTTTTTCCTTCCTAAATGATGTACATTGCACTTTATTGAATTTCATCTAGTTGATTTCATACCAATTCTCTAATTTGTCAAAGTCGTTTTGAATTCTAATCTTATCCTCCAAAGTGCTTGAATTCCTCCCATTTTGGGGTCATCAGCAAATTTTATAAGCATACTTTCCACTGCATTTTCCAAGTCATTAATGAAAATATTGAATAATACCAGGCCCAGGCCTGACCCCAATGAGACCCCACTACATACACCCTTCCAGTTTGAGAGTGAACCATTGATAACTTTGAGTATGGTCTTTGAACTAGTTGTGCATCCAGCCTTATAGTAATATAATCTAGACTGAATTTTCCTAGTTTGCTTATGAGAATGTCATGTGGAACTGTGTTAAAATGTCTTAATAAAAATCAAGATATATCACCTCTACTGCTTCCACCCCACCCCTCCTATCTACTAGCACAGTAACCCTGTCAAAGAAGAAAATATAGGATGGGTCATATATGTATATTTAAATAAACAGCACTTTAAAAAATGAGAGACAGCTAGAACAGAGGATATATTTCTTTAGTTTGATATCAGTAATACTAGTTGATGCAGTGTCCTGATCTTGCTGCACTTTAAAGTTTACATTCCTGCTGCTAAATGTCTGTGAAATTACAGTCACCTGCCAATATTGTATGGAAGTGAAACCTCTGAATACATGCAGATAATTATCTGTGGTCAGGATCCCTTTCATGTGAAAGATATGAAATAAATGTATTGATATTGCACATGCAGTTCTTTGTTATCCACATAATCCTTTGACTCTGTCTTTTGTGACCAGTACAGTTCAACTATATTTAATATGTCTGGGCAGAACCTAATCCTTAGAAATTGTAAGAGTTGGGAACAAATCTTTATAAACTGATGAGTCCAGATTTGTTCCTTTGTTCCTCTTTTGAAGATATCCAAAAAACAATAATAATATAATTGGAGTTTAATTTGTTGATACTAGTCCTTTCTCTCCACTTTGCTATCCCCAGAATAGTCACATGAATAAACAAAGGGTTGCAAAAATCAAGAATGTGCCTATGTGTGTATGGGTTTTTGTCTCATTAGCAGGGCAGTTAATTTTAGATTTGGTACTGTTGCATTGCATATACTTCAGTTTGATAGCTTTCTGCTGAATGCTACGCGTTCAGTGGTCAAATTTGATTAGATTTCTTTTTCCCTAACAAGCAGGGTGTGTAATTTCATACACAAGTTTAACAATTGCACATGCAGATGAAAGATCGGCATGCAAAAGTTACTAGAATGGGCCTTTGGAGCTCTGTTACCTGATTCATTCAGTCACTGCAAATAAATGCAACTTGAGCATGGAATGTTGATCCACAGACACAACATTAAACCCCCAAGTCATTACTCACTCGCTCTGACTGGGGAGACTGATTGTCCAAAGTCACATTCTAATTGTCTGGTTGGGCCCTTTGGATGTGGTCAGAACCTTATTACACCAGTTCCGAGTTGTACCCCACTGAGATCTCACCACCACAAAGACATTTTAAAAAGCCCTACAGCCATTACGCTTAATAAGCTTAAAAAAAAAAATTCTCCCCTTATCCTCTTCCCCGTCTGTGCTCAGAACAGACAGTTGAGGGGGCTGAGGAGCAAAGCAGCATCTGGATGGGGGTGAAGAAAGGCCTGGATTGGAGGGCAGTGTTAATTGCTCCCTGCTCCTGGAGTTCAGATGCCTGGTTGCCAGCAGGTTGTGGCCCACTGGTCATGGTCAACTCTGTCATAAAAAAAGAAAAATCACAAAATTAGGAATTCTTCAATATCCCCAAAGTCCTTTTTGAGAAATGATGTGGTGAGCTGAAGGAGGCATTTGAATCAGAAACTGCTGCTGGGTAACAGCAGAAAAGAGGGACCCAAAGAGTCCAGAGAACTTCAGAAGAAAAAAAATCAGACAACTGTTATAAAAAACTAAGTTAACAATAAATAGATTCAAAATAGAGAAAACCATTCTTTCATCATGAACTGTGTTTTAGCGGGAAGGTCTTCATTGCACACATGCTCCACCTCACAAAGAAAGGTCTTTCAGCAAGGATACCAGTGGGCAAATTAGTGACCAATAGTGGCTTCTTTCTACTCCCATTGAAGTCACTGGGAAGACTCCCATTGTCTACTATGATGCAATCAGGGCCAAAGTGCACTTTTTGGGCAGTTGAAGGCCATCCGTTTGTGGTCTCCTGTCTTGCAGTATACTTGGAACTGTGCCATCACCTGATCAATGCACACACTGTTGCAACTTATTGGCACACACAATGCCCACTCCTCTGATACCCCTCCTCCCTCCCTCTTTCTAAAGTAGACATGCCATTATACATTAATGTGATCACAGACATACATGCTACAGAGTTTAGGAGACATGTTTATTTTGGTCCACTTGCTGTTGAAAATGAGAATTTGTCCTCGGTGTATATTACCCATTGATAAAAATTTTTGATTGAGTGATACCTGGAAAAACAATGGACATAACCCCCCTTAATGACTATTTAATGCACTCTAACAGTAATGCTGTGCATAACATCAAGCAGGCAAAGTGAAAAAATGTTATTTGAAGTACATTCAGTTAAGGTGATATAAGGATCAGTCCTCGAATAAAATCAAAATTAATCATTTAGCTGCAGTATATTGTGAAGTAACATTTAAAGCAGCAGCAATTACAAAAGCGTTTTTTTCATCCCGTTTCCTTGCCTCTCTGTTTTGCTTATGTGAACAAATAACCAACTTCAGCCGAAACACTGGTGTAAATTGGTGGTACTCAGGATCAGAACGTACAGCCATGCAGCTAACACCAGCGAGGAATTTCTTTAAAAGGGGCCGTAGCAAATCTGGGACACAGGAATGAAATGCTTTAGAAACAGATAATCTTCACTAGACAGATGGCAATGCCAGGAAAGGAGATAAAAATAGTTTTGAACTGTTGAGCTGCTGCAGATTCATGGTCAGAACAGAAGATGCTCTGCAATACTGAAACTCAGAGCAGCTTCACATTTTTATTTACTAAGGAGCATAAGAATGAAGGAGAACAATAGGGAGACACATGGGGTGAAGAGTAAACGTATGCATAATAGAAGAATGAAAAGAAAACTAAACCAAGTAATAAAGGGAAGAAAACTCTGGAAAGCTGTTAACATTTCCTTGGTAATAAATGCTAAACAAATGGATTTCATTATCAGGAGGCAAGGAGTTTTAAGGAAAAGATGGCAACCCCCAGTCACCTCAACTTGGACCGCAGCTCAGCTTTAATACTACAGCAGCAAATCGGTATGAAGCAATGTCATTTATCTGGGTCTATTGTTCCTTTTCTTTGTTGAACACATTCACAAATTAGCACATTCTTTTTGGCAGGACATCTTTCACCCAGCAATTAGAAACTACAGTAGAACCTCAGAGTTACAAACACCAGAGTTACGAACTGACCAGTTAACCACACACCTCATTTGAAACCAGAAGTACGCAATCAGGCAGCAGCAGAGACAAAAAAAAAAAAAAAAGAAAAAAAAATACAGTAGAGTAATGTGTTAAATGTAAACTACTAAAAAATAAAGGGACAGCAGCATTTTTATTCTGCATTGTAAAGTTTCAAAGCTGTATTAAGTCAATGTTCAGTTGCAAACTTTTGAAAGAACCATAACATTTTATTCAGAGTTACGAACATTTCAGAGTTACGAACAACCTCCATTCCCAAGGTGTTCATAACTCTGAGGTTCTACTGTAGCTTAAAACAAGGAGCTCAGGCAGAATTTGCTAAATGACATATGGGTATGAAATGTCACTGAAGAGTTTGAGGACCACTGGTCTAGGCTCACAATTACAGAAAATACATGTAGTTATATTATCCAGGTACTATCTGAGAATTTACTCAGACCTCACCATCATCGTACCACACAATCATCATGGCATTTCCCCTCACAACTCTCTTCATGATGTAACAAAACATTTCCCCCAGTTTACAGTGCAGATTAACTGATTATGCAAAGTCATACAAGGAGCCTGTGACTTGTATGTAAACCCAGGTCTTCTGCATCCCAGTCTAGTGCCCTATTCACTAAACCATGTATTTTGCTTTATATTGCCACATTAAATGCTATGAGTGTAGTAACTTGAGTGATGGAATTTAGTTGTAACTCTTACTAACATTAAAGGGAGCCACACATCAAAACTCTTAGCTAAATCACATTGAGCATTTATTCCTGGTACTCAACTTTGCCCTCCACTAACACAACTAGCTAATCCAATATTTGTAAAATAACTGTACAGTACAAAGGAAAAAAGACTATTTAGAAACGTAATGGATTTTTTTTCCTTGAGCTTTCTCTTATTTCTCTCCTCTAATACACAAATAAGGAATCACATGAGCAAAAATAGTGGCTGCTCGGGTAGCATTTCCACCTGGGAATGGGCAAATTTTAATCAATAGAACTTCTTACTAACTAAGACCCCGATCCCCTAAACACATACTTACTAAACTCTAGGCACATTAATAGTTCCATTGACCTCAAGGGGACTGCTCATGTGCCAGAAGTTAAGCACCTACATAAGTGTATGCAGGATCAGCCTCAAAAAAACTTCTCTGTATTCAGCTTCATGTTGTCTTTCATTCCATCTATATTGCATTGGAAAGACACTATTTATGGTGGTTCAGTATTTATTAAGCATAATATTCAGCACTGGCTAAACATTAAGCGATTCTCAAACTTCATTGCACCACAACCCCCTTCTGATCACAAAAATTACTACATGACCCTGAGATGAGGAGCCTGAACCCAAGCCCCACCGCCCCAGGTGTGTGTGTGTGGGGGGGAGGGGTGAAGGGAGAGGGTGGCTGAAGCCCCAGATGCAGGGGGCTGTAACCTGAACCCCACCGCCCAGGGCTGAAGTCTTTTGGCTTTGGCTTCAGCCCTGGGCCTGAGCAAGTCTAATGCCAGCCCTGGTGACCCCATTAAAATGAGGTCATGACCCACTTTGGGGGCCCAACATACAGTATGAGTCCCACTAACCTCTAATCCCTTTGCCAGAGATGCAGCTACATTTTATTACCCACCCTCCCCACCCCCATTTAAAGAGTTGCCCCAGGCCACAGATGGGTTTGGTGTCAGAGCCATTAAGACTTAGGAGTTCTGAATTCCTAATTGGATGCTCAGAGCACTAGGCCTCAGCTCTTTCTCCTTAGGAGTGCCTTGTCAAAGAAGGAATAAGAGGTATGCTTCCCTTTTGACATATCCAAGTCACACATTCCGATACCTTTGTTTTACAGCGAGTCTTAAGAATCAGGTCGGTGATCTTCTGGAGGCCAATGAGGCTGCTGTTCTGGAGCTGGCAAATGCAGACGAAGAGATTTCACAACTGAAAAATGAAATGGCTCAATTAAAATCTGAATATCTGCAGAAGATAAAAGAATCCAAAGAAGAAAATCATCTTCTCAAGGAAATGGTAAGGAATCTCCCAGGCCCGAGAAAGCCTAGCTCAGGGGTAGCTCCGAGCCGCGTACAACAAACTTCAGAAGTTTGAGAGCCGGGACACGCCTGCCCTGTGGGAAGGGGGGTCTTGGGGCGCCTGCCCTGTGGGGATGGGGGTCTTCTGCCCCACAGGTAACACCTTCAGGGGGTCAGGGCTTTAGCCCTGCTCCTATTGAAGCCCCAAGACTCCCCACCCTGCTGGGCAGAAGCCAGAGGTGACATGGGGGGGAGGAGACGACCACATAGAGTCATGTACCACCCCATCTTTGCAGAGTTTACTGGCACCACTTGGTCACATGCTGCTGCCAGGCCCCCTCCGTGCATCGTAGCTGCTGGAGCCAGCATGCTGGGAGCTGCAGCTGTGGGGAGAGGCAGCAGCAAACACCTGGGAGCTGCAGGGAGGGGCCACTGAGTGTAGAGAGGGGTGTGCTTGGGGGGCATGACTCAAGCTGTCAGGGGGGGCAAACTTTTAAATTGTGCCTCCCCCCTCAGCAGGCACCAGTAATCTCTGGCAGAAGCTCTTAGCCCCATCACCCTGCTGCAGGGCAGAAATCCCAAGCTGCTCCCACCCCCGTTTGGTATGTGGAGAATGGGCAGGTATGGGGGGCTCTGCAAGCTGCACTTCAACCTCATGAGCTGCGGTTTGGCCCCCCCCGGCCTCGCTGCTGGCTACTTACTCAGAATATGGTGTATTACGGGGAAAGAAGTGTGATGCAAAGTTGTGTACGGAGAACTTGCACTGTACAGTGGGAACATAAAGCCGAGGGGAATTTGAATTTGGATGCCTAGAGTTTCTCCAGCTTTCCCTTCTGGCTGATAGACAGCATGTTACTGGCAAACTCAGGAGAAAGCCACATCCAGCCCCACAGCCGTCCCAATATGTGACCTTCTGGAAAGGGGAAAAGGGGGGAAAAATGAGCAGAGCTGTAAGGGGACTCAGTCTCACAGGACTGTCCCTTCTCACAAGAGTCATTTACATTTTATGCATTAAATTGCACAGAAGTCTCCATTTGGTTAGCCAAAAAAAGCAACAAAATGAATGTATACAGTTGTCTTGTATAGTAGTAAAATGAACCAAGGAGAATATCTGGTTTATCAAACAGACTCAGGCCTGTGTATTCTCTTTCCTCCCACTCCCACCATGCTGGCTTTGCACTGTGTTTTTTCCAACTTGCTGTTTTTTATACAGTACCTCGAGTCCTTACAACAGGACATCAGCTCCATCTCATTGATAACAGAAGTGTACAGTAATTAGGCCCTGATCCGTCAAGTCTTTACTCCTGAGATCAGTCCAATTGAAGTCAATTCCTTCATCGCATGGGTTTGTCCCTGTGCATAAGGGTTGTGGGATTAGGCCCCGAACTGAAAGTAATGTCCCAATATTGACAAAGTAGCTACTTTAATAAAACAAACTTGTTTTTCGTAGTATTTATGAGCAATCGAGGGCAATATGGTTATATTTCAATTCCAGTTTTAAAGAACAGCACTGAAAGCTACTGGGAAACATCTCCACACACTGCTTTTATGGCTATAATAAAAGTTGCTTTCAGTTTTAAAGGTAGGCAACGCAGTGTGGGGATTCCATGATACACTTGGTGATTTGTATGGCTCATGAACACATGTACATTTCTCTCCTTGGCTGATGGATTATTAGAGTCACAGCCAGCCTGCGCTTAAATGGTTTAACCATATTTTGCATAGTGCCCTGCTATTACTCTATTAGCATCATTGTTATTATTATATTTCTCCTGGTTTTTTTCATCTTGTAGGCTTTCCTATACTACTGCAGCTTCCCAAGCAATTATTCTTGCTGTGGAAAGCATGCAGGTAGAATTCAAAGCAATTCTATGAATTATTTTAACTCAGATCTGTATTTAAATGAGCATTACAAGAGCTCAGAGAAGATGTATTTGACTTCAAAAGCACATTTAAGAAGTTAGCTTCCATTCTCTTATGTCTATACTTTATTATAATCTCTCTCATATCTATACACACACACACACACACAGTTTCTCTCTCCAAAACGTAAAGTCTCACCACAGCTACCCTCAAGCATTATCTAAATGCTATAGGCAATGAAATAATGCCATGCCATTTTTATTTTAAAGATGAACACGGTGAGCAAGAGGCACGCTCCACTAGCAACTTATGAGCAGGACCTGCATGAGGAGATTTTTCAACTAAGACGCGAGTCCAGGAGGTTGAGAGAACTCTGTCACCAACTAAATGAGGAAAACCACAGACTGAAAGAAGAACTATGGGATGTTAAGAGGGAATACGAACGGCTAGCACAGATGGCAACAGCTAGAAAGAAGGGTAAAGCAGGCAGCCCAAAAATATGTCATTTTACAGTTTATTTCTCAGGCTCTTTAGAGGTCTAGGAAAAGACAAGCAATGAAATGCATGACACTGATGCATGGCATTAAAAACATTTTAATGAGTCTACTTGAAATGGTATAGTTTAAATAAAATGCTTCTTCATGAAAAACCATGTATCACCCCATCATTTTGGAAGTAAAATACAGAGCAGGATGTTCTAAACCCTGTTCTGTATTTTCTGCCACCGTGAAGTACATCATTTTACCCCAGGCTCTAATAAGAACAAGAGCTATAAAACAGTGTCTTGGTGAAATGTAATGCACACTTGTTTTATTTCTAAGACTTCAGCTTTTACTGGAAAAACAGTTTGTTTCAATTTCAGTCATTACTCTTCTTCCATATATTGTATCGTGAATGTGGTGCCTTGCATAAGTACACAATTTACAACCAGGGCTGTACACTTCAGAACAATTTTTCTTGTTATGATTGGAACTCTGTGCCATACAGATCACACTTGAGACTGTGCAAATGAGCCTTTACAGGATGGATGTTATTCACAGTTTGAATTCTATAATGTACACAACCCCCCAAGGGCTCAGGACAGCTAATAGCCTTTCAAGACAGGTTTTGGGCCTATAGAATCGCCCCATAATCTTACTTGGTGAACTTTCTGCTGCTCTCATTTTAAACATTCCACCTTTTTGAAGCTGCAGTTCCCCTTTAGAAAAGTTCTGAGCCCCAGTTTGAATGGTTTTCAACTAATGAGAGACTGATTGAAACCAATTGGAAAACCTGTGTGTGTAAAAAGGGCAAAGCAGGACCTACCAATGGTCCTGCTTGAAAAGTCATTGGGATGGGAGAGTGAAGGACACAGCTATGCAAGAATGAATAGACAAAGAAATGGCACCATTCTGTGCATATAGAAGCTGGTTCAAATGCTCATTAGAAAGCACTAAAAAAAGTTATAAATGAATTAGATACTTATTTTTTTTGATGGATTGTATCCCTTCTGCCAATTACTGAGGGGACACATTTGCGCCACTGGAAATCTTATTCATAAGAGAAATGCTATTGAGCACAGCAGCATGCACACATTCCAAAGGTTCTACAAGGCTGCATCGAAGGCCCTGATTCAGCAAAAGCCTTAAACACATCCCTAAGTGCAGGGCTGAAGCCCCATTGGCAAATGAAGGCCAAGGAAAAGGTTGCAAGAGGGAGATGAATATAAAGGGAAAATGAAGGATGGAGAGGAACAGGAAGAGCAAGTCTTATATTGGAGGGATAAAAGGAAGGAACAAGACAAAGCAAACAACCAGTCAGTAGACAGCGATCAGCACAGTGCACATGGGTGAAAATGGTAGGAATTAAGACCACCTCTTGCCAGCACTTTTCGAATCTCTAAAACAGGGGTAGGCAACCTATGGCACACATGCCGAAGGCGGCACACGAGCTGATTTTCAGTGGCATTCACACTGCCTGGGTGTTGGCCACCGGTCCAGGGGGCTCTGCATTTTAATTAAATTTTAAATGAAGCTTCTTAAACATTTTAAAAACCTTATTTTATATACAACAATAGTTTAGTTATATATTATAGACTTATAGAAAGAGACCTTCTAAAAACGTTCAAATGTGTTACTGGCACACGAAATCTTAAATTAGAGTGAATAAATGAAGACTCGGCACAGCACTTCTGAAAGGTTGCTGACCCCTGCTCTAAAAACTACCCTGAGAAAAACCGAGAAGTGAAAGCCTGGTAATTCGACAATAGACATATTAATAGACAATAGGCCAAAAAAAAAAACCTCTGCATTCAACTACTCTTTTTTAGGCCAGACCACAACATTAATTCCTTGGACTGATCTTTGCAAGAAAGACACTCAGACTAGAATTCTATCATCAGTGCAGTATGGGTAAGTCATGGGAGAAACGCATGTAATCTTTTTCTATTAACCTTATTATGCTAACCAGGGAATGACACTATAAGCAAGCAGTACACATTGAGAAGAAATGAGTCAAACTGGACATCATGGAAAAAGCTGCATGAAGTGTAAAATAATGGTATCACCATAATAAACACTTTACTCCCCCTTACCAGAACAGCAAGTTGCACTCCAGCCTTTACAAGCCCCTTTTGTATTTTGTTTTTGTACTGAATGTCCATCTATGCTGAGCAATTCTATAGGCACAATTTTTACTACCTAAACAAGTAGTGAAAATACATAATAGATGTATCTTATTCAATTTCCCACCCACAGAATGTGATTAATTGTACCTTCTTGTCAAAAATCTGCTTTAACCAACCAGCATGTCAGAATCTGTTTTGGATAGGATGTGCTAAGATTTGAGCAATTCTGATAAGATGGTATAATTCTCTCCAAGCCCCCATCTGTTTTCACCAGCTTTGAAAATCTTTGTTTTGATAGTTGTATACAAAAAGAAAAAGAAAAACTAATGGTCATGATCCCTCATGTTCTTTACAGAGCAATAAACAATCAGTGGTACTGTTTTCCCATTTCTTTGCTCTTAGCAGGAAAGAAGGTTTACAAACAGATGAGATGAATGGAATTCCCAGCAGCAGAATGGTGTCTATACTCAAAGTTTTCAGCCCCCATGCATGTGATGGTAAGTGATGTTGAGTTTGGAAATTGCCATGCTGGGATTAATATATAAAAATAATTTTTAAATTGGGCCTTCACTGTCTTGTGCTTCAGTAATAAAGGTGTGATATTGGGATTCTTAGCTGTATTTCCAAAAACTTCCCAATTGAGATCTTACTGGGTTAACGTGCATGTGCAATGAGCTCTGTGCGGGCTCCCTATGCACAGCTCATTACAGGGCTATGGTGTGAAACAAGTTAAATGAGGAGCCAACATAAAGGATCCAGATAGAACGGCTATCATTTTGTCTTTCTGATGAAGAACAACTTTACTATTATTAGTGTTTTCCTTACCAGCAGCATAAGCAGTACGTTTAAAACAAACAAACAAACAAGAAGATTTTTTCCCCAAAGACATTTTATACCCTGTAACTTTTACGGTTTGAATATTTCCCCCATTTTTTAATTTGTTTAACACCAGGTAGCCTAATGCCCACATTTTTAAGCCATCCACACTGCAGTTAAACTTAAATGATCCATAACCAGTGCTTCTGAGATGCCTTGGTCTACAAGAGGTGATAAGCAAGAACTTCTCTTTTGCTTTCTTACCTTCATCACTTTTATGTGCTGTTCCTGATAGTAGAAATATTGCTTAAGAATGTATATGATACATGGTCCTGTACATCAGTTTAGAAAACACTGATATACAAGTGATTTGTGACGTGAGTTTAAGTATGTTGTTTTCCTATTGTTTCACTGCTTTCTGCATTAGAGTGTTCAAATTTAAATAAATAATAAAATCACATTTATAGGCAAAAATTACATGTGTAAGTCTCTGAGAATGGAAAAAATCGTCTCTTAAACAAATTGCTTAGCCTAGTATATTCCTTTATTAATAAATAGAATAGTAATTGTACTAGTAAGCCTGAGGTTCATCATAAGCAGCTTAGTTTTTCTTTTCTTAATGTATCAAATTCCGCTTTCTGTTTAAAACTAAGATCTGCTCCACCATCCATGATGCTGGCTGTTAGGTGCTACACCATTACAAACAACATAATAATACAACACTATTAACCCTTAGTGCATTTTTACTGCTCAAAATAGTAATTGCATCTTTACAGTAATATCTAGAGCTGGTGAAGTCGATATGAGCAAACCTTTTTTTCTTTCTTTAGAAAGGCAACAAGAATGTTCTAAAAGCAATGCCTCCTCAATGTCTATGAATAGTGAGTCTACAGACATTCTGATCACTGGATACCATGATACAGGCTTAAAGAAAGAATCTAAGAGAAACTCAAAAGGTACATTGTTTTAACTACATACTGATTAGAGTTGTTCATTAAAATTCTCTCCAGGTCAATTGATGCTTTTTTCTATTGCATTACATAGAATTTTTATTTCCAATACCTTTTATATCAGTATATATTCTACCTGAACAGAAGAGTTAATTCTGTGGTCAGAACCCTGCTGATGGTTAAATAATCTTGCCATATTTTCACATGCAATCTACTGTTGTCTTAATAGTCAAACAAAGCATTGTGACTGCCCTTTATTCATATTTTTGGGAAATATTTGTATCAGAATGATCACTGCTTCTCAGCTGGGATTACAATAGTACTTCTTTTTGAAAAAGCTGAATATTCACAATAGCAATCAAACATGTTCTCTGATATATACAGTAGGCCCTGGGGTTCAGATACTGCACTGAAAGTACTTTAGATATGGAAGCGTGTTGTACAAATAATATCAAGGAAGCTTTTAACTTTTTTAAAGTAAATTCTAATTATTTAACTTTTGTAAGTATTATATTTATTTAGTTCTGTTTTCCCTAAGAAAAACTCACAAGAGGGGCCTCACCTCTGTGAGGATTCTCTTACCTGTACCATCTTTATCCACCCATAGAAGAGGCCAGAAGCCATACATGGCTTGGGATCTTGTAGATCACAGGGGGTCCTGCAGAAGGCCATACCCATCTACATGGAAGTTTTGCAACCCTTCACCAGCTCTGGTGTTGGTGGCTATTTGGCAGCACAGCCCCAGATAGATTTATTTTTTTGATCAACTTCCTCAGGGTTGTGGAGCTCAGTCTCTGCCCTTCCCCCAAACCTTCAAAGGTGGTGGGGGAGGGGGGGGCAGTGGCTGATCCTTCCTGGACGATCAACACACAGAGGTTCCCCTACATGCATTGATCCATGGGAGATGAGCTGTTAGGTAAGAGAGGATCTGTGATTAATAGGGATGGCACACCAGCTGTTAGAGATTACTTAGCTTTGAAGTGTCATCTGGAATTTCCAAATTCATAGATCACTAGCCTCTTTTTTCTTTTAATTATGCAAAGTTAGGGCTTGTGAAATGCGCTGGCTCTTTCGGGAGACTGAATCCGCTGAATCTACATCACTAGTAGACAGGAGCAGTGGCTGTTCAAGTTCCCCGCACTGCCTTAAAGTACTTCACCAAGGTGCTAGAGACTGACTACTCTCTGTGTATGCGCACAGTTCCAGTTCAGTTAGCCTTTGGACCCACCTTTGAGACTACCTATAACACTGCCTCTTGTGATGATAGGATATTTAGTTTATTAGACAAATCAAACATATGACCATTAGAAATTGAATTGTGTCCGCAGTTAAGTTCACATGGGTCAGCTGACAACCACTTTTGGCCTAAGCTGGAATTGAACCAGGGACTGGTATTGAAGGACTTCATCTATCATTATGAGACATTCTGTTGACGCATCAGTCTGTTACTTCCAGACAGATGACTAAGTTGCCGTATGTAACCAAGTTTAGTATAAATTTCTGAGGATACCTTTCTAGTCTTCAGTTTAGAAAATCGATGAACAATGTACAGCTTCAGTGCACCCTCTGACCATACTGGTTTTATTGCTGCTTTCAAGATGGTGCATGTGAGGAGATCCCAGAACCGTGTGATGATGATTTGTCTGCAGTCAGTCAGCAAAATAGGACACGTCATCAGAATTCTCTACAGCATGATACAGATGTAACAGGCAGCCTCTCTGCAACGGATACCTGCAGTAAAAGTGCCACGAGCAGGTAATTTAGAATTAAGCATTAATCACAATTATTGAACTTAAAGCAAGAAAATTTTGCTAGACATTTTACGTTTTCTAATCCTATTAAAAATCTATTCTAAAATAAACCCTACCCCAAGCAGAGCTTTCTATTACCTGGAAAGGAAGAAGAGGAAGAGACTCCATGAAGTCTACTACAGACTCGGCTAGTGCTAATTTGCTTTCCCAGAAGATGTTCAGAAGCTTTGGTGATGGGCTACAGTACAAAACCTTAACACAGAGATGTTGATGAGCGCATCAAAAGAAATCCATGTTTAAATCTGCTTAGGAACATGTGTTGTGTAACTGGGCTAGCTTCCCACCTTTGCCCTCAATTCCTGAGGAATTAGGAATGGTGTGTGAGGTTGAGGGGTTGCTTGTATGGCCACGTTCTTAAGTCACTATATTGTTAAAAGCACTTAGTCTCCTGACACACATGCCAGTGGCCTCCCGTGTACAAAAAACATTGTTAAAACGTCAGCTAAAATCTTCAAGTCACCATCCTCAAGCAAAGACCCAACTGTAATGGTAATGATATGCCTTCCAGAGTTCCCTGATGGGCCACACTTTGTGGCTTTGTCAAACCAATGGGTGAAGTGGATTCAAGGGTTCAACACATCCTGCTTCTAGTTTCTCAACAGACAAGTTTATTTCAATCACCATGGTGGAGCATGAAGAGATAATCAGCCATCACCCAAAACTACTGGCTACTGTGGAACCCAGGGGCAGTGGGGAATCCAAATATGAACCTCACTTACAAGATAGGCATCCTCTTACAGTAGATGTTTCTTCATGCCCATCAGTATCATCTTGATTATCATCCACAAGGTGTTTCCGTGAATTTGCTCGTCTGCCCTCCTTCTAAGATAGGATCCTCTGAATGTTTATAACTACTACTGTTTTTCATAACAAGAAAAAGCTAAATTGTATCTCACTTGCTTTGTGTACTGTGCCCTTATCATACATCAAAGTGATCTTGCTTAACTAAAGAGTATTGCAGGTTTCACAGCAGCCAGCGTGACTTAGTCTTGACCAAGGGGAAGAGTATCCAGGGCCATTTAGTCGTTGGACTTAGGACATGGGTTAAAGGGGGTCCTTTTTCTTGTTGTGAGGGGGACAGCTGTTCATTAGGAACTGAACAGTTATTTCACACCGGCCAGGAATAAGCAATCAGATGATGATGATATTTGGTTACTACCAATCAGGGCTGGGATTGAAGTCATGGCTTCATAGTAGATCAATTGTGTTATCTAACAATTCTTCTTTGAGAGATGTCCCTGTGGGCACACCAGATCAAGGTGTGTCCCAGCGCCTTCGATCGGAGATTTCTACAGCAGTACCCCTATGGGCCGCGCATGCGCTATGCCTGCCTCTCGAGTGGTCAGTGTTCTAATAGCGCGTGCATAGCCTGGGCTCCTCAGTTCCTTCTCTACCGTCCCCGGCTAGAGACGGAGTTCAGCAGTGCTCTTTGAGATTAGCTAGCTAGTTAGTTTCTCAGTTTAGTTAGATAGATAAGTTACATTAATGACTGAAAACTAAGTAGTAACTCTAACGGTTACATTTATTTCTCAAAAAAAACCCACCTCCGCGGTTTCGGACATGCTTGGTTCAAGAGACGCGCCTCTTGTAAGGATGCCATCCTCATCTCGGACGGGCATTCACAGTGCGTACGCTGTTTGGGGGAGTTTCATGTACCCCAAAAATGCATCCATTTATAGGGGGAATCTATACAGGAAGGATGGGCTCCACCTAAACCAAAGTGGAACCAGACTGCTGGCACTTAACATTAAAAAGGTTGCAGAGCAGTTTTTAAACTGAGAGATGGGGGAAAGCCGATTGCTACTGAGGAGCACGTGGATCGGACAGAGACTTCTCTTAGAGGAGAGTCTATTGATAGAGATTCTCTAGGTTCTAGTCAGGAGGAGAGGATGGAAGAGGATAATGTATGGGCCAGATCAGACAAGAGACAGTCACATAAAAAAATCTGACACATCAGCAAAGGGCAGACAAATAAACAGTGACAAGTTTTTAAAGTGCTTGTACACAAATGCTGGAAGTCTAAATAAGAACTAGAGTGCCTCGTGTTAAAGGAGGATATTGATATAATAGCATCACAGAAACCTGGTGGAGTGGGGACAATCAATGGGACACAATCATTCCGGGGTACAAAATATATAGGAAGGACAGAACAGGTTGTGCGGGGGGGGGAGGGGGGAAGGGGGGAGAGAAGTGGCACTATATGTGAAAGAAAATGTACAATCAAATGAAGTAAAAATCTTAAATGAATCCACATGTTCCATAGAATCTCTATGCATAGTAATTCCATGCTCTAATAAGAATATAACAGTAGGGATCTATTATCGACCACTTGACCAGGACAGTGATAGTGATGATGAAATGCTAAGGGAGATTAGAGAGGCTATCAAAATAAAGAACTCAATAATAGTGGGGGATTTCAATTATCCCCATATTGACTGGGTACATGTCACCTCAGGACGAAATGCAGACACAAAATTTCTTGATACTTTAAACTACTGCTTTGTGGAGCAGCTGGTACAGGAACCCACAAGGGGAGAGGCAATTCTCGATTTAGTCCTGAGTGGAGCGCAGGATCTGGTCCAAGAGGTAACTATAACAGGACCGCTTGGAAATAGTGACCATAATACAACAACATTTAACATTCCTGTGGTGAGAAGAACACCTCAACAGCCCAACACTGTGGCATTTAATTTCAGAAAGGGGAACTGTGCAAAAATGAGGTTAAACAGAAATTAAAAGGTACGGTGACTAGAGTGAAATACCTGCAAGCTGCATGGACACTTTTCAAAGACACCATAATAGAGGCCCAACTTAAACATATACCTCAAATTAAAAAACCACAGTAAAAGAACTAAAAAAGAGCCACCATGGCTTAACAACCATGCAAAAGAAGCAGTGAGAGATCAAAAGGCATTTTTAAAAAGTGGAAGTCAAATCCTAGTGAGGTAAATAGAAAGGAGCATAAACACTGCAAAATTAAGTGTAAAAATGTAATAAGAAAAGCCAAAAAGGAGTTTGAAGAACGGCTAGCCAAAAAGTCAAAAGGTAACAACAAAATATTTAAGTATATCAGAAGCAGGAAGCCTGCTAAACAACCACTGGGGCACCTGGACGATCGAGATTCAAAAGGAGCGCTTAAAGACAATAAAGTCATTGCGGAGAAACTAAATGAATTCTTTGCTTCCGTCTTCACGGCTGAGGATGTGAGGGAGATTCCCCAACCTGAGCCGTCCTTTGTAGGTGACAAATCTGAGGAATTGTCACAGTTTGAAGTCTCACTAGAGGTGGCTTTGGAATTAATTGATAAACTTAACAGTAAAAAGTCACCAGGACCAGATGGCATTCACCCAAGAGTTCTGAAAGAACTCAAATGTGAAATTGCGGAACTATTAACTATGGTTTGTAACCTGTCCTTTAAATCAGCTTCTGTACCCAATGACTGGAAGATGGCTAATGTAACATCAATATTTAAAAAGGGCTCTAGAAGTGATCCCGGCAATTACAGACCGGTAAGTCCAACGTCAGTATCGGGCAAATTAGTTGAAACAATAGTAAAGAATAAAATTGTCAGACACATAGAAGAACATAAATTGTTGGGCAAAAGTCAACATGGTTTCTGTAAAGGGAAATCATGTCTTCCTAATCTATTAGAGTTCTTTGAAGGAGTCAAGAAACATGTGGACAAGGGGGATCCAGTGGACACAGTGTACTTAGATTTCCAGAAAGCCTTTGACAAGGTCCCTCACCAAAGGCTCTTACACAAATTAAGTTGTCATGGGATAAGAGGGAAGATCCTTTCATGGATTGAGAACTGATTAAAAGACAGGGAACAAAGGGTAGGAATAAACGGTAAATTATCAGAATGGCGAGGGGTAACTAGTGGTGTTCCCCAAGGGTCAGTCCTAGGACCAATCCTATTCAACTTATTTATAAATGATCTGGAGAAAGGGGTAAACAGGGAGGTGGCAAAGTTTGCAGATGATACTAAACTGCTCAGGATAGTTAAGACCAAAGCAGACTGTGAAGAACTTCAAAAAGATCTCACAAAACTAAGTGATTGGGCAACAAAATGGCAAATGAAATTTAATGTGGATAAATGTAAAGTAATGCACATTGGAAAAAATAACCCCAACTATACGTACAGTATGATGGGGGCTAATTTAGCTACAACTAATCAGGAAAGAGATCTTGGAGTCATTGTAGATAGTTCTCTGAAGACGTCCACACAGTGTGCAGCGGCAGTCAAAAAAGCAAACAGGATGTTAGGAATCATTAAAAAAGGGATAGAGAATAAGATGAAGACTATCTTATTGCCCTTATATAAGTCCATGGTACGCCCACATCTTGAATACTGTGTACAGATGTGGTCTCCTCATCTCAAAAAAAGATATACTGGCATTAGAAAAGGTTCAAAGAAGGGCAACTAAAATGATTAGGGGTTTGGAACAGGTCCCATATGAGGAGAGATTAAAGAGGCTAGGACTTTTCAGCTTGGAAAAGAAGAGACTAAGGGGGGATATGATAGAGGTGTATAAAATCATGAGTGGTTTGGAGAAAGTGAAAAACGAAAAGTTATTTACTTGTTCCCATAATATAAGAACTAGGGGGACACAAAATGAAATTAATGGGCAGCAGGATTAAAAAAAATGAAAGGAAGTTCTTCTTCACACAGCCAACTTGTGGAACTCCTTACCTGAGGAGGTTGTGAAGGCTAGGACTATAACAGGGTTTAAAAGAGAACTAGATAAATTCATGGAGGTTAAGTCCATTAATGGCTATTAGCCAGGATGGGTAAGGAATGATGTCCCTAGCCTCTGTCTGTCAGAGGGTGGAGATGGATGGCAGGAGAGAGATCACTTGATCAGTACTTGTTAGGTTCACTCCCTCTGGGACACCTGGCATTGGCCACTGTCGGCAGACAGGACACTGGGCTGGGTGGACCTT